TGTCCTTTTGTGATTGACTTACTTCACTCAGCATAATGCCCTCCAGATTCATCTGTTATGAGATGCTTCGCAGATTCATCATTGTTCTTCATCATTGTGTAATACTCCATTGTGTGTATGTACCATAGTTTGTTTATCCATTCATCTGTTGATGGGCATCTAGGTTGTTTCCATCTTTCTGCTATTGTGAACAATGCTGCCATGAACATAGGTGTGCATATGTCTTTTCGTGTGATGGGTCTTATTTCTCTAGTATATATTCCTAGGAGTGGGGTTGCTGGATATGATATTTCTATTTCTAGCTTCTGAAGGAAATGCCATATCTTTTCCCAAAATGGTTGTATCATTTTGCTTTCCAACCAGAAGTGCCTAAGAGTTCTGATCTCCCCATAGCCTCTCCAACATTCGTTATTTTCTGTTTTTTGGATTGGGGCCAGTAATGCTGGGGTGAGATGGTATCTCACTGTGGTTTTAATTTGCAGTTCTCTAATGGTTAGTGATAGCATTTCCTCATGTGTCTGTTGGTTGCTTTAATGTCTTTGGTGAAGTGTCTGTTCGTTTCCTTTGCCCATTTTTTAATTGGATTGTCTTTTTGTTGTAGAGGTGTCGGATGTTCCTGTAGATTTTAGAGATTAGACCTTTGTCAGATTTGTAATAGCCAAATTTCTTTTCCTCGTCTGTAGGTTCTCTTTTTACTCTTTCTGTGAAGTCTTTTGGTTAGCATAAGTGTTTAATTTTCAGAAGATCTGAGTTATCTAGTTTATCTTCTGGAGTTTGTTTGTTGTTAGTTATGACTTGTATCCTGTTAATACTGTGTGTTACGGCCTCTAGCATTGATCCTATTTTTCATCTATGATGTTTATAGTTTTGAGCTTTATATTTAGGTCTTTGATCCATTTTGAATTAGTTTTTGTGTATGGCATGAGGTATGGGTCCTGTTCCATTTTTTTGCAGATGCACATCCAGTTTTGCCAGTACCATTTGTTAAAAACACTGTCTTTTCCCCATTTGATGGACTTTGGGCCCTTGTCGAAGATCAGGTGACTGTAGGTGGATGAATTTACATCTGGGTTCTCAATTCTGCTCCACTGGTCAATGTATCTGTCATTGTACCACTACCAGGCTATTTTGACTACTGTAGCTGTATAGTAGGTTCTGAGGTCAGGTAGTGTGAGTCCTCCTACTTTCTTCTTCTTCAGTAGTGCTTTACTTATTTGGGGCTTCTTTCTTTTCCATATAAAGTTAATGATTAGTTTTTCCATCTCTGTAAAGAATGTCCACCACTAGGGCTCTTTAAAAATTCTTAAACATATCCACAAAGATAAATGTTACAGATGTTTCCTGCAGCGTTTTTTAAAAAAATTTATTGTACTTTATGTGAAAGTTTACATGGCAAATTAGTTTTTCATTCAATAATTCATACACAAATTGTTCTGTGACATTGGTTGCAATCCTCACAATGTGTCAGCACTCTCCTAATTTCTACCCTGGGTTTCCCATTTCCACTCAACCAGTTTCCCTGCCCCACCTTGCCTTCTCTTCTTTGCTTTTGGGCAAAGGTTGCCCTTTTGGTCTCATATAGTTGATTGTTCTATGGAGCACATTCCTCATAGTGTTACTGTTTAATTTTAATTTTGTTCTACATTTTTCCCCCATTCTAACTGGGACCTTCTATTGTGTTCCTGGTCGGAGAGGTAGGTAGTTGTAGCCAGGCATCATCTATTTCTTCTGGTCTCAGACTACAGGAGGCTGTGGTTCATGTGGGACATTACTTGTTTGGAGTAACTGCTTTCTTGAGTCTTTGGTTTTCTTCACTCTCATTTGCTCCAGACCGGAAGAGATCAACAGTTGTTTCTTAGATAGCCACTTGCAATCTTTCAATACTCCAGACACTACTCACCAGCCTAGGGTGTAGAACATTATCTTTATGAACTATGTTATGCCAATTGATCTAGAGGTCCCCTGAAACTATGGTCCTCAGCCTTCATGCACAGTAGCTCAGCCCCGCAAGCTGTTTGGATATGTCCAAGAAATTTCCATACCTGTTCCCCCATGTACTCTATTATATATATGAATATACATGCAGCACATACAAATATGTATGTAGAAATACCCACAACTATACCTATATATACACCCTGGTGTACTCCCGTACAACCTCCCATGCCTACTTAGCATACATATCTACCTATGTATCTACTCAAAAAGTATTGTTTGTTATTATTGTAGTTGCAGAATTGTGTATGTTGTAGTATTTACCGTTGTTGTTGTTAGGTACTGTTGCGTGGGTTCTGACTCATAGCAACCCTATGTACAACAGAATGAAACACTGCCCAGTTCTGCACCATCCTCACAATCACTGTTATGCTTGAGCCCATTGTTGCAGCCACTGTGTCAATCCATGTCACTGAGGGTCTTCCTCTTTTTCACTGACCCTCTACTTTACCAAGCATGATGTCCTTCTCCAGGGACTGGTCCCTGCTGATTACATGTCCAAAGTATGTGAGATGAAATCTTGTCATCCTTGCTTCTAAGGAGTATTCTGGCTCTACTTGCTCCAAGACAGATTTGTTCGTTCTTCTGGCAGTCCATGGTATATCCAATATTCTTCACCAACACCATCATTCAAAGGCATCAATTCTTCTTACGTCTTCCTTATTCATTCTCCAGCTTTTGCATGCATATGAGATGACTGAAAATACCGTGGCTTGGGTCAGGTGCACCTAAGTCCTCAAAGTGACATCTTTGCTTTTTACTACTTTAAAGAGGTCTTTTGCAGTGCATTTGCCCAATGCAACACATTGTTTGATTCTTGACCGCTGCTTCCATGGGTGTTGATTCTGGATTCAAGTAAAATGAAATCCTTGACAATTTCAATCTTTTCTCTGTTTATCATGATGTTGCTTACTGGTCCAGTTGTGAGCATTCTGGTTGCTTTATGTTTAGGTGCATCCATACTGAAGGTTGTAGTCTTTGATCTTCATCAGTGTTTCAAGTCCTCTTCACTTTCAGCAAGCAAAGTTGTGTCATCTGCATATTGCAGGTTGTTAATCAGTCTTCCTCTGATCCTGATGCCTCATTCTTCTTCATATAGTCCAGCTTCTTGGATTATTTGCTCAGCATACACATTGAATAGGTATGGTGAAAGGATACAACCCTGACACACACCTTTCTTGACTTTAAACCAATCACCATCCCCTTATTCTGTTCGAACGACTGCCTCTTGGTCTATGTACAGGTTCCTTATGAGCACAGTGAAATGTTCTGGAATTCCCATTCTTTGCAATGTTATCCATAATTTATTATGATCCGCAGAGTCGAATGCCTATGCATAGTCAATAAAATACAGGTAAACACCTTTCTGGTATTCTCTGCTTTCAGCCAAGATTCATCTGACATCAGCAATGATATCCCTCATTCCATGTCTTCTTCTGATTCTGGCTTGAATTTCTGGCAGTTCCCTGTTGATGTACTGCTGTAACCACTTTTGAATGATTTTCAGCAAAATATTATTTGTGTATGATATAATTTCTGCATCCTGTTGGATCATCTTTCTTTGGAATGGGCATAAATATGGATCTCTTCCAGTCGGTTGACCAGGCAGCTCTCTTCCAAATTTCTTGACATAGATGAGTGAGCACTTCCAGCACTGAATCCATTTGTTGAAACATTTCAGTTGTTACGTCAGTTCCTGGAGACTTGTTTTTTGCCAATGCCTTCAGTGCAGCTCGGACCTCTTCCTTCAGTATCATCAGTTCTTGATCATATGCTACCTCCTGAAATGGTTGAACATCGAACATTTTCTTTTTTGGTCCAGTGACTCTGTGTGTATTACTTCCATCTTCTTTTGATGCTTCCTGTGTAGTTCAATATTTTGCCCATAGAATCCTTCAATATTGCAACTCGAGGCTTGAATTTTTTCTTCAGCTCTTCCAGCTTGAGAAAGTGTGTTCTTCCTTTTTGGTTTTCTCACTCCAGTTCTTTGCACACTTCATTATAATACTTTACTTTGTCTTCTCAAACTGCCCTTTGAAATCTTCTGTTCAGCTCTTTCACTTCATCATTTCTTCCATTTGCTTTAGCTACTCTACATTCAAGAGCAGGTTTCAGAGTATCTTCTGACATCCATTTTGGTCTTTTCTTTCTTTCATGTCTTTTTAATGACCTTTTGCTTGGAAGTTTAACAGATATTAAAATGTTTTATAGATTAACAAAAAGTTAAAATTGTTGAGTACTAAAGCAATAAGCATCAGCTAATTAAATGGAAGACAGCAGGAAACCTAGAAACAGAAAACCTTGGAATTTAACGTATGATAAAGTGACCTTTTAAACTAGGTGAGAAAAATTAAGTTGTTTGGCACAGTGGACAACTTTTTTTTTAAAAAGAAACTTCTTGTTACATATTGCTCCAACATAAATCTTCGAGCGTTTAAAGATGTAAGTGAGGAGAAGAAGAAAGAAGAGCAAAAAAAAAAAAAGTAATCAAAACGTAAACATAACCTTGGGCCATCGGGGAGGGGTTGGAGGCATGTCGTGGAAATGAGTTTTCATTTCATCTGGAGAATGTGCATTGGTTTTTCCTCATAAACTTGCATTTGGTACCACATATTGCCACAATCTATGCAACCATGAAACCGTCTGCTGTTGTTGCATCTGCTGAATTCCCAGGGAAACTGGCTGGGCCCCAGAGGGATGTGGAAGAGAAACTGAGGAACAAGATTTAGAGAGTTTGTTAGGGGAGTTTTCTGGGGACGAGGTCTTCAGAATCCTAAATTTCCACGCCACTGTAGCCCCAGTCTTATGCAAAGGCTGCTTTTCCACAGGCGCGAGTCTTCCTCTCAGAGGTCTCTCCGAATACGCAAGCATACCCCATCCACTGTAACAGACACCGACCAGGACCTTGACCAGATCTGAGACGCTTGATTTTGCGCACGCGCACTGGGCATCTTTGGCTGCCGGGCCCCTAAGCGCATGCGTATGAATGCCGCCCTCTGAGGTGCGCACGCGCAGTTGTGTTTACCGGCATTGCTTGGCTACAGCTATTCTGGGCTGCAAGATTCGAAACCGCAGAGGTTTCCTGTTGGGATGTTGTGGCGAGATCGGGTTGGGCTATCTCTAGCGCGGCTGTTGGGCTCAGTTGGCGACAGAAAGCCGAGGGTGAGGTGAAGTGCCTTTGAAACTTGTCGCCTCTGGGATGAAGAAGATTTTTGGCTTCGGGAGTAAGAAGGGCGAGTCGCCCTTGGGCTCGTCCACCAGCCCGAGGAGGGACAGCGCGGGCGTCGGGCGTGAGAACAGTAAAAGCGTCAACTCACAGCCCGGGTACCACATCCGGGACAAAGATCTCGGGAAGATCCACAAAGCTGCCAGCGTGGGTAACGTAGCGAAGGTGCAGCAGATTCTTTTGCTCGGGAAAAATGGCTTGAATGATAGAGACAAGACGAACAGGTAGGGACTGCGTGGCAGGCTGGCGATGGGGCCGGCGGGAGGAGGCAGGGCGTTCTGTCACCCCAGGGTGCTCGGCTTCGAGAGGCGCCTGGTGGCGCAGTGGTTAAGCGCACGGCTGCTAAGGGAAGCCACCAGCTGCTCCGCGGGAGACAGATATGGCAGTCCGCTTCCTAAAGATTTACAGCCTTGGAAACCCCATGGGGCAGTTCTCCTTGGCTTTATGGTTGCTGAGTCGGAATTCTACTCTAAGGCAGTGGGTTTTTGGTAAGGCTCCTTAGCACCTAGGGCGTGGAAACTACGTGGGGTCTAGCGCCCAGTCGGTCTTTACGAGCAGCAAAAGCAAAAAACTTTAGCTGGTTTGCGATGCACTCATAATACCCGTCATAGAGCACTTTGACTTTTAAAGTGATTTAACTGAATGTTAATAATAAAGGAAAGAAATAAGATTTAGTATATACAAATATATTTTATTTTTAATGTACACATTTAAAACCATAAGGCTATACATTATAGAAAGTGCATAATGAGAGAAGGAGCTCCCATAATATATCAATTTATGAGCTAAAAAATCTTTGGATAATCCAATTTCCATTTTATGTCATTATCTACCTGTGTAGGTGTGTACTTTACCGAGGGACCTTAGAATGAAACTCCGAAGTAGGACGATGGTTCATGTTCTTGAATAAGAAGACTCGTTTTTCTCAAAATGTGAGCCTTCTATATCAATTTTACATAAACCAAATAAAAATATCAAGGTTTCAAAAAATTTGAGTTACATATGGTGTCTGTCTTTTACTGTTGTGATGCTAAGTTTTTGTAAAGAGGTAAACAAAGACTGGCCCTTTTACATATCAAATGTGCTATAAATTTTCACAAATTGTTTACTAACATCCAAATAGACACATAAATGAATGGAACAGAATAGAAAACCCAGAAACAAATACATGTAAGAATTTAGAACTTAGTACTGAGGACATTTCATATTAGTAGGGAAAAGATGAATTATTCATAAATGGTGGAGAATTGCCTGCTTTTTGGAGAAAACTAGCTATATTATCTCACAAAAATAAGTTCCAGATGGAATATAGATTAAGATTTTTTTAAATGGAAAAATGAGAGAAGTAGCAGAAGACAGATCAATGCCTATTTATACATTTTTATGCTAACAAAGACCATTCCAATGACCTCAAAATAAGTTGTTCTTTTTTTTTTTTAATTAACATTTTATCATGTTTTCGGTGAAAGTTTACACAGAAAATTAATTTCCCATTTGACAATTTCTATACAAATTGTTCACTGACATTAGGTACATTTTTCACAATGAGTCAGCATTCTCTTTAATTGTGTTCTGGTTGTTAAGCTTCCAGTGCTCTTAGTTAAAAGCAAGTACTCTGAGGGTTGATTGAGAAACATAAAAATTAAAACATTAGAAAATAATATTAGCAAGACAGAAGAAGGCATACTAGCAAAATATTTGTAATATGCATTAGATAATAATATATATCTTCATTTTGTAAAGAATTCTTTCAAATCCACAAGAAGAAAACTAAACTCTAATTTGAAATTAGACAAAGTAGTTTTTGCAGATCTACAAGTGACCAGCTGACATAGGAAAAAATATTTAGTGTCCCTGGTAAAAGAAGAAATTAAAGACAAATGAAATACCATTTTCTACCGACAAAGCTTGTGAGCATGAGGTGTAATGACAGTTTACACTGCTGGAAGTTTAAGTTGCTTATGACTTTTCAAATAGGCTATTTGGTGATAAGCATCACATCTTAAAAATGTATATACACTTTTAGCCATCAATTCCATTTATATTAAAATATCTTCAGAAAATAAATAGAGAAATGTACTATACACTTTGTTTTTCGAAGCACTGCTTAAGATAGCAATATATTACGGAGAACCCCTATAATAGATTTTATAAATAAATTGCAGTGTACCTGTAGGATGGAGTATTATGCGTCCATTAAAGGTGGCATAGATACAGATGTATGTTGACATACAAAAATGTATTTTGGTAGATCACTAAATGAGAACAAAATCAGTTTGATTATACATACACACTGACTATGATCTTATGTTAGCCAGAAGTATGTGTAAAAAAAACCCTAACCTGTTGCCACTGAGTTGATTCCGACTCATGGCTACCATCTATGACACAGTAGAACTGCCCCATAGTGTTTCCAAGGAGTGGCTGGTGGATTAGAACTGCCGACCTTTTGGTTAGCAGCCAAGCTCTTAACCATTGCGTCACCAGGGCTCCAAAGTATGTATCAGATGTGATAAAAGTTATTATTTCCAGGTGTTTGTATTAAAAGTGAGTTTTTCTTATCTGTGATTTCTACAATGAACATACTTGTATAAAAATTCTAGTAGAAGCTTAATAATAATGAAATCATCCTTGGAAACTAGGAATATGAATCTTGCACCAACCAAAAAAACGAAATCTGTTGGGGTTGAGTCAATTCCGACTCATAGCGACCATATAGGACAGAGTAGAGCTGCTCCATAGAGTTTCCAGGGAGCACCTGGTGGATTCAAACTGCTGACCTTTTGAGTAGCAGCTGTAGCTCTATAATTTCTCGCTTCCTATCAGTTTTTTTTGAGGCTTGGTATCCTCTGCCAATGTTTAGCTTCTTCAGAAGGGAATCTTTTTATTACAATGTGATTATATATATTAATATGCATGTATTGTATACATATATTTTTACTATATAAGGGCATGTATTGTAGATTAATCGTTTTATTACTCTGGGTACTAAAGTACATATCCACATAGGAACATAATGATATAAAATGATAATTGTATTTTATCAGTTTTCTTTAAAAATATTAAACCCCCCAACTGAATTTATCCGTTCTTTCAGTCATCCTTGCATCCATTTATTCATCAAACAACCTGAACACCTATTAGCAGACATATTTTACTATCTCTCAGGTCCCTTTCATCCTTAAAACTGACATGTTTACCTGCTCGGTCTGAGCAAGTTGAGAAATTTAAAACCCAACTATTAGGACTTAATGTCAATTGAAGCTTTTCTTCCCTTCTTTCAAACAAAAGCATTTCTGAAGGTAGGAAATTATAAAAGATAACTTTTAACTGCCTTTGAAAATTTACAATAGTATTAAATACTAATATTAATCATTGGAAATATCTGCTTTACATACATTCTGTAAATCTAAATATTGAATAAAATGAGCCATACCTATTCATTTGATTCTTGAGTTTCCTTTGGCTGAGTTAAAGTGTCTTGAAAATCAAAGTAAGAGTTACTTTATCTTTTTAATTTCTTTTTTTTTTTTTATTTCAGCCCTCTTTTCCCATACTGCTTTTAAGAAGAATTTATTTAAATGCCCATCATATGACTAGAACTGCAATAGACCTATTGTATACACCCTATTTCACTTAATGTAAGGCATCATGGATTGTAAGATGTCTTATTTTATGTATCAATAAGGAATTTTAAAAAATACTGCCAATTATAGTTGTAAGATCAGTTATCAGTTGCATTCCAGTGTCAAAGTTGTTAAAATATGAGAAAATGACCATCTTAGAATAATTGAAATACAGTATTATCTCTAATTCTTGATATATATCTGCAAAATAGAAACAATTGTCATTTTACTCGACTGAAGTGTTGTCTTTGTTTAGTACGTAGTAGTAATAAAAAAATATTATTAGTTAACAATTACTGAGCTGCTATTTGTGCTATGAATTGTTCTAACACTTTGCATAGGTTCTTATTTACGCATCACATGGTGTTCTGTGAGATAGCTACTATTTTAATCCTCATTTTATTGGTGAGGATATTGAGGAGCAGGCTAAATGATAGCTAATAAGTGACAGAATTAAAGTAGGATTTAAACCTAACTTGGGCCAAATCCAGAGGTTATGCTCATTCTTTTAAATAGGCTGCCCTTTAATTAATGTTGTGAGTAATTAGAGCTAACAAATATTTAACTTTATTCAGAAGAAAATCAAGTACTTATTTTGAAGTTATAGGAATAACATGGGGTTTAATGTTCGCCATTACATGAATAATTGTATATTCTGAGATAGTGAACTGTACTTTTCTAAAATGTCTTCTTACTTTCCTAGGACTGCTCTACATTTGGCCTGTGCCAATGGCCATCCAGAAGTGGTAACTCTCCTAGTAGAGAGAAAATGCCAGCTTAACGTCTGTGATAGCGAAAACAGGACCGCTCTGATTAAGGTAAAGTAGTAGCTAGCTATTTCAGTATGAAATGGATTTCATTTAAATACTTACAATGAAATGAATTTGTCTCATTTAAATATAACTAATTAGTAAAATGTTTGAAATGTTTACTTTTAAAAAATTAATTGTAAATTTATTACGATAAAATACATATAAAATTTGCGGTTTTTGAGTGTACGTTTCAGTGGCATTAATTACATTCACAATGCTGTGTAACCATTACCATCTTTTTTTTAAACCATTGCCATTATCTATATCCAAAACTATTTGATCACCCCAAACAGAAACTCTGTACCCATTAGGCAATATCTCCCCTTTCCCTTTCCCCTAGCCCCTTGTAAACGCTAATCTACTTTCTGTCTCTATGAATTTGCCTTTTCTAGATATTTCATATAAATGAGATCATACATTATTTGTCCTTTTGTGTCTGACTTATTTCACATAGCAAAATGTTTTCAAGGTTCATCCATGTTTCAGAACTTTATTTCACTTTATGGCTGAGTAATATCCCATTGTATGGCTATACACTTTATCTATTCGTCTGTTGATAGTCACTTGGGTGGTTTCTACCTTTCAGCTATTGTGAGTAATGCTGTAATGAACACTGGTGTACAAGTATCTGTTTGAGTCCCTGCTTTCAAGTCTTTTGGGTATATATACATACCTAAGAGTGGAATATCTGGGTCATGTGTAGTTCTTTATGTTTAATTGTTTGAGGAATTGTCAAACTTTTCCAACAGCAGTTGCACCATTTTACATTCCCACCAGTAATGCACAAGGGTTCCAGTTTCTCCACATTCTTGCTAATACTTGTTATTTTCTTTTTAATAATAGGTATTCTAGTGGCTGCGTGAAATGTTTACTTCTAATTCCTAGAATTTATGCCCTATTTCTCCTTACAATACTGACAGGCCGTACAGTGCCAGGAAGAGGAATGTGCAACTATTCTGCTAGAACATGGTGCTGACCCAAATCTTATGGATGTCAATGGCAACACTGCTCTCCACTATGCTGCCTGTGGTCAGAATATATCAATAGCAGCAAAACTGCTTTCACACAATGCAAATATTGAAGCAAGAAACAAGGTACCAATTAAACAACTTTATTTACAAAATATTTGAAATATGATTTTTTAATATTGATGTAAGTAGGGTCAGTTTTATATATTCGGAAGCTCAAGCATTCTCTCAATATTTTAAATAACTTAATTGTTTACGATTTCACTTAAAATGATACTTCTAAAAGAAACATTGGAGGGTACAGCTGTCTTTTATGCATTTATGGCAAATATTTGTGAAAACACTGAATTTAATCATTAAAGATAAAGCTTTTTCAGATATCTCTTTCTACTCCAAGTTTTTTGTTTTGTTTTTTTTCCTAATTAGTGTAAAACAATATAGGAAAACAATTTACTTTGGAAATAGGCTTATTAAAAATTAAACAAAATACAAGCACTTTATAATAAATACAGTTTATGCTGCTGCTAATGTATTCCTATTTTATAAAAAACGTGATTTCATATAAAAGTGATTTATGTCAGTGGCCAAGGCTTAAAAGGGAAAAAAGAAAATAAAAAGGACAGAGCAATCAGAAATACGCAGGCCAATTTTGAAATTTGATAATTGAGGGAAAATACCAAGAGATTTTTTTTTTCCCCATTTTATGTTTAGACAAGTGTCTTAGTTGTCTAGTGCTGCTATAACAGAAATACCACAAGTAGATGACTTTAACAAACAAGTTTATTCTTTCACAGTTTAGGAGTCTAGAAGTCCAAATTCAGGGTGTCAGCTCCAGGGGAAGGCTTTCTCTCTCTGTCGCCTCTGGGGAAGGTCCTTGTCATCAGTCTTTCTTGGTTGAGGAGCTTCTCAACACAGGGACCTTAGGTCCAAAAGACATGCTATTCTCCTGGCTCTTGTTTCTTGGTAGTATGAGGTCTCAGTGTCTCTCTGCTCACTTCTCTCTCTTATATCACAAAAGAGATTGGTTTAAGACACAACCTAATCTTGTAGATTGAGTCCTGCCTCATTAACATCATAGAAGTAGGATTTACAACACATAGGATAATCACATCAGATGACAGAATGGGGGACAGTCACATAATACTGAGAATTATGGCCTAGCAAAGTTGACACATACTTGTGGGGGACACAATTCAATCCATGACAGCAAGGTACTCTTCAGTTTGGGGGATAATAATTCTCAGTTTGGGAAAGAGTAAGTTTTAAACTTGTCTAGAGATCAATTTAAGGAAGACTTTGAGGGAACCAGATTGGCAGTGACCAGTGGTGATTAAGTGAGAAATAAGAGGGAAGAACAGATAATTAACTGCAATATATCCTATTCTGAAAAAAAACAGCCACTTAGATAAAAGTCTAAACTTTTTATTCTTAAATCTAGAATATCTTGATGGGAAGGTGGGAGGTAAGGAGCTTATGAATAATGAAATCCAGTTGCAGCTTGAGTTTTCTAGTCCTGTTGGACCTCTACTCAGCAAAATAAAATAAAATTCTCAAGAAGTGACTCTGTATCTCTTTTTTTGGCCAGATCCCTGAATGATAAAGGGATTTGGATGAGAGATAAGACTGAAGTGATTGTCTGCTGCACTAATTCTCAACTAGATTTATGCATCACAGTTGCCTGGAGAAGTTTAAAAATATTTTCAAGCCTGGGTTCTACCCCTGAAGATTTTGATTCAGTACATGTAAATTTCAGTAAATACTTCCTAGAGATTCTGATACAACTCCTGCTTAAGAACCACTTAATAGAAGAGTGTAATATATAAACTCCCAGATGTCAAAAGCTTAAGAAGGCCCTGGAAGAGTTGGCGTTAATAGGAGCTACTTCCTTCAATTCTCTCCTTTCCAACAGTATTAGCCTGACTTACTGTAAAATCTAGGTGGGAGTAATAGTAGTGTCAGAACCTAACTTCAGGGAGCATAATGATCAGGATCAGCCCAAAGCTGAGTCCCATGAGGTGAAGATCAGGCATACCTCCACCCTCCAACCTTTTTACCAATTCTGACACCAGGTGCCCCTCCCGCGGCACTCTCTACTCTTCTGGGTTCAATAATCCATTGCAAGGGACACACAGAACTCACAGACCATACTTTACCGTTAAGTGGTTTATTAAGGAAGTAACAAGGTACAACTTGGGATCAGGATCAACAGGCTACAACTCAGTCAGGATCAGAAAGCATGTAGGTAACAGTCTCTCTTCTTCAGGGTAGGATAACTTTCTGCTTCTCTCGGCCATAGAGGCCTCTTTCCTGTACCCTGAGGACAGGCTTCTCGTGGTCCTGCAATTTGTCACCACTGGCTCTGCCACAGGGCCCCACCCGGGCCTGTCGCTGTCTTCAGTGTTAGAGCTGTTGACTTGTGTTGCAGCTTTGTTAGAAGGTTCCTTGTCTCCTCTCTCTCTGTCTCTGCTTCTCTCTTGTTTCTTCTGCTTCTTCCTGTGGCTTCTTTCTGTTTTAAAAACCTCTGTCGGGTTGGCTGCATATATATACAACTCCTTGTCAATTTCAAGGCGAAGCCTCTCCCCGCAGAGGGCCACAAACTGACTAATCCCCCCTTGGAAGGCTGTAGTCACCTCATTTGCATAGTTCATGGACTAATCCCTAAAAAGTGCATACCAGTCACAGGCTGCAGCCCAGGACAAGATGAAAAGTAACAAACCACAAGTTGTTTACAGTTTACCCAGGAAATGTTGGTAAACCTGGGCAAATGTAACAAATCCTCCCTGGTAGAAACCTAGGAACTAGGGCAAAGGTTAATTCCTCAGAGTTGGGGGGGAAAAATCTCTCAAGCTGTTTTTCCAGAGAACTAAGGCAAAAGGCCACATAAAGGAACTCATTTCTCTTTTTTTTTACCTTAATGGTTGGGAAGTTAAAACGAATAATATCGGCAATATCTACTGGCTTATAGAATCACATCTTTTCCCTTCTGATCATTCAGTCATACTTTAGAAATTTGCTTATTGATAATCTTTTAATAAGAGACTGACCCTTTAAGGATTTCTCATCTCTTTGTTATCATTCAGGTCAACAAATGTTTATTACAAGCAGGGTTTTCTGTATTGGAATAGTAGCAGATTGTGAACTTTTTTTTTTTAAGTTGAAGCAGTGTTGTAGAATATCTCAGTGTGTCTGCTAAATTCATAGAGCCCTGGAATAATCAGGATGGCATTTTTAAACATTTAAAACCATGAAGTTAGTAAGAAGTAATACAGAGGGGAATTATTTTAATAATTTAGTTTTAGCAGTCCTATGAATTAATTATCCATTTGATTAACAGTTTGGGAGAGTCAAATACAAATAAGCTGTAAATTAGTTAAGTGTTGGAAGCATTCTTGAAGTGGGTTTATGAATCTTAATAACAATTTTTATTACATGTTGGGGCCCGACTTTTCGGTAAAACATCAATAAAGAAAGATTTTACATATAAATATTTGCTTTATGTACAACCATTTGGAAACACACCCACAGCAAAGATAAAAACACAAAGATACAAAGACTAAATGTGGCTGATAGGTGATTTCCCTCCATAAATTAAGCCAACATTTAAGATTTAGGAGACTTACATAGAAATCTGGAGACTGCTCCTTAATACAAGGTATGTGTTCTCCAGTTTGCTACTGTTCCACCTAGATACTTACTCAGATCACCTACCCCACCTTCGTAAATATTCAAGTTTACAAATCCTGTTTTATAGGCTGTTTTGATAAAGACATTAAAGTTTTCAAGAAAGCTTATATTAACTTATAGTATATAGCTCATATTTTATATTAATCCCTTAGAAATGGGATTTAATTTTTCAAGTTAGAATTTAGAAGTTGGTTTTCAAAAGATGTTTTCTTTATATTTGCTATTAATAATTGTATTCTCATTGGAATGTCTAAGTGTTACTAGATTAATCATAGTTATAGTTGGATGGGTTATCTGTATTGCAGACAATATCTTTCTCCTTAGCATTGTCCCCTAAAAATGCCAATGATTTAATGGCTTTTATTATGATAAAAATAATCTGTATAGATCAGTATTGGAATTTTTATTGGTTAGCCATTGTATTTTAAATTCTGATGTATATTTTGCCTAAAATAAAAAAAAAGAAATGTGAAGTAGCAACTAAAATGGAAAGCAGAATAAAAATGAATTTAAAAAGAAAGAAGAAAATGATGCATTAGGGCCTAGAAATTTATTATAATGGAAGACAGAAAGTTTGCACTGAGCTTTCTAACAGCTAAGATAAAAATCTTTCATCTTGTAGTAGGAGAAAACCGAGGGAACACTTAGTAATAAGCAGTCTGAGTTCATTAGGAGCCTATCTCTTGATTCAGAGCCCATTTCCTTAGTGACCCCATTTGGAGCAGCAGTGCTTGACACTGGCATCTGGGATCCTGACGCTATAGACAGAAGAGAATCAAACGAGTTTGTATAACATGTAGGCTCTCAAAACTATATCCCTGAAACTCTTATTCCTCAAATGTTAGTAAGTGCATCACAAAAAGTATTGTCAAATATGTATTAAGCAAAGTTAAACAGATATCTTTAGTGCCAAGCTTACCAAACCTACATGACCATGGACTCTCTTATGGCGGCACTGTACTTACCTTCTGGTGAAATAGTATTCTTTAGAATATAGTCTAAGATACACTGCTCTAGAGATAACCATTTAGATCACTAATTCAATAACAATACTTAAAACATTTACTACTACAGTAAAACCTGTGGAAGCCGGAACCCGTGTAAGGTGGAAACCTGTCAGAGAAGGAAAACTCAAATATTCTCCACTAATAGAGAGTGATAGAAAAGTGGTGACTGCACCCTGTCAAAGGTGGGAACTTGCGAGACCTAGAAAAACAAGGCAGTCCCGTTGAGTTCTGGCTCTCACAGGTTTCCCTGTATATTCGAGGGTTTGGGGATAAAGAGGTAAAAGATACAATCTCTGCTTTCAAGAAGTTCTTGCTTTAGGTAGGGAAAAATAAAATAATTTCAACATACCATGATAAATGCTGTGATAGACGCACAGATTCTTGGCACCAGTAAATGTTCGAAGCGAGTTTTGGAATGTGAATTTGGAGTTAATCTGGTAAAGCGGTAGAGGGGAGGGGGTGCTTCAAAGACAAGGAACAGCACATGGGAAACCACAGGAGGTGAGAGGAAGGGGCTACTTTTTATTATCTTTCCACATTATGTGCTTTAGTTTATAGCATCTTTTTTAAGGTTTTAAAAAAGTAGAGAAATATATAATTTTGTAAATCATAAATTGTTTTTTCTGTTTTACAGAATGACCTCACACCACTTTTACTTGCTGTAAGTGAAAACAAACAGCAGATGGTGGAGTTTTTAGTAAAGAAAGAAGCAAATATACATGCAGTTGATAAGGCAAAAAGGTACAGTAGTTTTTTTTTTGTTCGTTTGTTTTTCTTTTTTAAATCTTAGTGTTGTTCTAGAGGGTAACAATCATCAAGTCAGAAAAATTAAGTTGTCAGAAGAGGATTAATTTATAATTGTTTGCATATAGTGAAAATATCAACACAAATCACCAGTTCGGTAGAAAAGCAATTATTCTGTTGTGAAGAACAGGATATAGTAGGACTCATATTCCTTTATAATACTGATTTTTTTTTTTTGTTATATGATGTTATAGTAGCTAAAAGAGTTTCATATTTTATTAGATTTCTAAAGTACAGACTCTAAATTTTAGTTTACTTTATGATGCAATATTGAACTTCTTAACCTTTATGTAGTATTTTTTTAACCTCTACTCCTTATATACTTTTCCGTAAAAGTTGCTATATTAAACATAAATAGGAGTTGAGTATCATTTTGTCTTTTGGATGACTGCTTTAAATTGCTTACTTTGACTGATATTGATGTTAGTTTATTCATTTGTGGCTATTACTATTACCAGAAACTATGGGCTTGACAGTTATCTTTTTCCATTTCTAGTATATTTTGATGTTTTTATTTTTAATTGGTATGAGCAGAGGGAAGGAAGATAACATTTAATGAAGACAAGTTGTAGGTGGGTGATGAAAAGAGATGTGCTTTAGATTCATACAAGTCTGGCTTAATTCCTGGCTTTCCCATTTGCTAGATGTGTGACCTTGGAAACATTACTTAATATCACCAAATATGTTTCCTGTTCTGAAAAGGAGGTTAATAATATATCCTTCAAAGGTAATTGGGTGTCACGGCCTCATCTACCCTGAGACCGGAAGAACTAGATGGTGCCCAGTTACCACCATAGACCATTCTGCTTGAGGCCACTGTAGATGGACCCTGATAAAATGGGAGTAAAATGCAGCACAGAACTCAGATTCCTAGAAAGTCCAGACTTACTGGACCAGTTGTGACTGGAGGACTCCTTGAGACTATAGCCTTGAGATACTCTAAACCTTGAACCAGAACTACCCACTGAGGTCACCTTTTAATGAAATAACAGATTGGCACACAAAATAAAGGATATTACTCATGAGTACAGGGCTCCAGTAAAAAAAAACATTGATATGATACCAGAAGATCAACAATCACTCTGTAGCAAAGATGAAAAGATAACGGGAGCAGGGAAACTAGAACCCGCAATTAAAGAGAATGTTGATACACTGTGAAAAATGTAACTAATGTCACTGAATAATTTGTGTAGAAGTTGTCCAATGGGAACCTAATTTGCTATGTAAACTTTCGCTTATCTGACCCCTAGCTGTTTTTGAATTACAGTGTTATATCAGAGTAGGGAAGAGATCATTAAAATCTTCACCTACTTCGGATAAGTGACCTCAGCATAGTTTCTTGTCCACCGAAGGGTTTTAAATTAGCAACTTTTACTGTTAGTACACCAGTGGGAGGAGGCTTCCTTTTTGTCCCTTCCTTTTAGCCTTGGAGGTAAATTAGAAAGATAACACACGAGCACCCGAGGCGCCCAAGATGCTTATGTCTCTTAGTACTTGTAAATCGCCAATTCTACATAGACAGGCAAGATATTAGCTTGATAAAATATATCCGATTAGCTGTGTAAATAACTGAAGTTCCTAAGGATGAAGTTAACTCTCTGTTATTTTAGAACAGCTCTCATGCTTGCTGTAAATCATGACTCAGCAAATGTAGTCAGGCTTCTGCTTCAGCAAGGTATTGATGTCTTTTCTCAAGATGTCTATGGATGGACGGCAGAAGAATATGCTTTTGTTAGTGGTTTTAATATGTAAGTGTTTACAATAAAATGGTAAATAAATAAAACAGTGAGGTTTAAAGTTATAACTATTACTTCTTACACAACAGATGATGTAGAGTCATAATTTGGTTCAGCTAGTCTTGGAATGGCAATGAATTATTCCCTATGAGTTATTCCTCATCATCAGCCAGAAACCAAGCAAAAAGCAAAGTCCAGTGTAAGGCTAGGATAGTTAGAAGTAGCAGTTGATGTGAGGTTCTCAATGAGAAGAAGTCGGGGTAAAGACTTTTGAGACCTTTAACCTTAGGAATCCTAACATTATCGATTGCATTCCAGGTATAACCCCTGTGCATGTGGTACAAAAGGATCACATCTTTGATTTTTCTCATGAATTATTTGATTATTGAAGTGTCTGCTTTTGCAGAAGATCCTGTATTTCCCCTGGGGACTATCTTCTGCACCCTCCCCATTGAATTTTCCAAGAACTTCAGGGGTTTGCTAAGTCCAAAGCAGACAATCCCTTTTCACGAGTCAGATGGAGTTGGTGACGGGACAACAACATTTTGTTGTTTCTGTTGCTTGTCTGGTTGTAGCATTGCTATTGAAAACTGTCCCTGCAGTCTAGTCATGATTGACCTTTGCTTACAATGATGCCCTTGCTGATCTAGATCCTTTACAGTCTTCAGTGGTAACCCACACTTAGCTGTCCAAGTTACGATTTTTTTTTTTTTTTTTTCAGTTCACATATGTTTATATATTCAGCCGTTGTTCCCAAAGCACCAGCACCCTGCTCTGGCAGCGGGGCCTACTAGCTTTTGCCATACACATAGTGAGCAAACTGACCCTTTACCCCACACTTAAAACCTTTTCTGGGGCCCACATTTTAGGCCGGACCTTCATGGTGAATGACTTTTTGAGGCCCTTGTTTGTCTTTTTGCCAGCAGTTGTTAGTAGAGCCCATTCTAAGCTATCAGAGGTTTAAATAATGTTGCAGGAAAAGATCAGAGTTTCCTTTCTTCTTTGCTACCAGATCTGTATCCCCAGGACCCTCTGTATCCTATGGAATGCCTTGCCTTTTCTCAGTAGGAAAGGTCTCACATTGTCTTTCTTCAGAGTAGTGGGTACCAGCTTGCCTTAGATTTGATAATTAAGATTGGCCCCTCCAGTGATCTATCCCCTACTAATGAAAATCTCCCAAGTTACTTATATTACCACCTCTAGTTTTCAGAGGCTGGCATAATTCTTAAATTCTGACTCACAAGGCAGCCATTCAGTAGAATTCTCAGAATCTAAATTAGGTTAGTTGGACTTGGAAGAGCTAAGTCTCACTCATGATTTATTGATATTCATGTATGAAAATAGGGTTATGTCTTTCAAGTCATTTGGAGATGAACGTGGAGATCAAGCATCATTCTAATAAAGATCTTCTAGTTCAGAGTTAGAGTAGGTAATGAAAGAATAGTAGTCCAAGCTAGGTCTTGACTTCTCTTAATTTTCTGCCCTTGGTGTAATTAGCTGTGATAATAGTGGACAATCATGTTATCTAATGAGGTAATAAATTTATACTATAAATAAGTTTAGTTACAAATTATGTAGTTGCTGAGATGCCCTGAAAGTATAAAACACAAAGAACAGCTAATAACCAAAATTAAGACTTAATAACATTTTCTGAAAAATGCAACATTTGAATATAGAGCCTATTAAGAAAAAAACACATAAACACATTGGGTTTTATTTGGGTTTCCAGAAGAGTTTCAGCAGTGAATTTCAAGAACAAATTATTCCTATTCACTGTTTCTCTGAACATTTTTTTTTTTTTAATAATATCTCATTAAGTCTTCTTAACAACCTTATGAAAGAGGGCAGTAAGTTCTCTGTTTTATAGAACAGGACATTGAGCCTAAGAGCAGTAACATGTGCAGAAACAAAGAGCTGTTTGTTACAGAGCTAGCTCCAGAGCTTCTGAGTTGAGGATACTTTCCATTGTGTCACGCTAACCCCAGTTAATTTACCAAGCTGTACTGCCCTCAATTCAGGACGTCACTTTTTTTTTTCTTCAATTAAGTGCCTCATAAAAAGTTTGTAGAGATTACAGCTTTGAAGTATATGGGATAAAGTTCTGAGTTAGCGCTAATATTGTATGAAGTACTCTAAGATTATTTGATATACTTGGTAAATGTTCCTCACATCAATATTAAAATAGTAATATTTATCTCATTTTTTATACATAGCAATCGCCAACTAATTTCTGAGTATAAAGAAGAAAAGAGACCTAAAAATTCTTCTCAAAATAACAATCCAGGTAAGACTTCTGGTAATGGCATTATTCTTGGTGCTGCTATCATAGATAAAGTAAGAGTAAGGAAGTTTTGATAATGAATGAGCAATTAAAAAAATTAGTATGTAAATTGCATGTATACATTTTCTTTTAATAGTCTAGAATTTAGAATAATTGAAGAAGTTAATTGTGGGCAATTTATATTCTGAAACAGTATTGTCTCAAATGAAATTCAATTATTTAATCATGGCCCCTGAAACCTCTTATGACATCTTTGTGTTCACTTAACAAATAAACTACAAAGTGTTAGGTACTAAGCATTATTCTAATGTTGTAGAATACAAACATTTTAAAAACACAGGCCCTGCCCTCCTGGTGCTTATTGTTATCGTTGTCACTTTTATTATTTATTCTACTTCATTCAGTGCTTACTATGTGCCAGATGCCCCCCAGGAGTTTATAATTATCATTATTATTTATTTATTATAATATATTTGGTGTTTAATATGTGCCAGACACTTCAGTCTATAGTGAGCAATTAAAGCTTTAAAAAAGTGGGTAGAATTTAAGGTAAGCATACCGAGTGAGTCCAGATTTGCCAGGTGAAGAGGCAGAAGGATGAGGGTTGGCAGAAAGGAACATCTAACAGGAGTACAAACTTGGCAGAAGGAACAGCAGGTGCAGAGGCTAAGATGCGTGAAGTGAACTTTGCAGGATTTATGAGCAGTTTAGTTTTACTGGTACAAAAAGTGTGTTGTGGAAGTGGTTGGAAATAAGGTAAATACATAGCTAAGGCAAGCTAATGAAAGACTGTTTAATACCGTAGAAAGGACTCGATCTTATCCTTTAGTACATTGAAGTTTATCAGTTAGAATGCCTTTGACTGCAAATAATAGATGACCTAACTAGCAGTGGCTTACACAGTAGGAACCAGAGAGTTGTTTCGGTGGCTCAGGATTGTCATTAAGATCCAGGGGTTTTCCTTCTTTGAGCTGTTCTGCTGTCAGTGTTTTCGTTCATAGTCGGCTCCAAAAATTATGTTCTTGCATGACAATATCCAAAGGCTGGAAGAACTGCTTTTCTTGACATGTTTCTTTTAAATAGGGAGTAAACTCAGAAACTTGCATCAGACTTCCCGTAACATTTTATTTGCTGAGTTTACATCACATACTCATTCCTAAGCCAGGCGCTAGTAAAGGAAATCTATTTACTCTGATTTGCTTAGAATAATAATTTCTCTTTTTGGAGCTGTGGAGGGGCCACCTTCTTTGAGTACTGGGAATGATCCATGTCTAATCAGAAGTGTGGTTCTCCAGCAAGAAAGAAGAGTATGGAATAACTCTTGGGTAGGGAGCCAGCACTGTTTGCTGCAGGGATTCGTGGAAGAGTTTAGAGCAGCAGAGTAACAAAATGAGATTTGAGCACTATGGTTATGGTAGCAAGCAGGAATTAGCAAGCTTTTTCTGTAAAGGACCAGGTAGTCAATATTTTAGGCTTTGCGGTCTCTGTCATATCTACTCAGCTTTGTCGTAGTAGTGCGAAAACAGTCATAGAAGATAAGTGAACAAATAGACATGATTGTGTTCCAATAACACTTTATTTACAAAACCAGACGGCAGACTGAATTTGCCCCGTCGGTTACAGTTTGCTGACCCCTCACATAAAATATACATTGAAGGAAACCAAGTCAAGAGACTGGTAGACAAAGGAGGCGTTTGCGGTAGTCAAAACCACAGCTTCCTCAGCACCAGTCCTTGGACTAGTATCAGTCCATTATGAAGTTTTCACACATCTGTATGAAATGAGTAAAGTTTGGATGCTCAGTTTACTCGTTTTAAAACACTGGTCTTTTTCTTGGCATTTTGTCTTCCTCATTTGTTTTCCTTAAAATCTTTTCGTTTAGAAAATAATAATGGTTTTTTTTTTTTCTTTTTGACTTACTCTGTCAACAACTGCCTTTAATAGGTAAACCATATTTTTAGTTTTATAAGAAATTAAGAAAAATATTAGAAACCAAAGGAACTCTATAATCAGTAGTACATTATTCTATATGATGGTTGTATGTGTCTTTCTACAATTATTCCAGTTACCTGAATGATATATAATTATTATAAAAAGGAATTAAACTGTGCTTAGTTGGAGGACATTGACTGTGTAACTGTTCCATTTTCTTTATAGGAACTTTCATACTATAAAGCATATTAATAATTAGCAGGATTCTCTATTTTCATTTTGGTTAAAATAGGGTTGTTGCTTATTTCACATTATTTTGTGTCAGCATTGTTTCCTTTATTCCTTTTATGCCTTTTTTCAAATAGATATAGAAATACAGGAATCTCCAAGGCAAATATCAAGAAGAACAGAGTCAAGGAAAGGTATTCTATGAAATAATCTTCTGATTGTAACCACATAGAATATTAGCACATCAACCCAAATAATAAAAACTTCATTTAATGTAGTTGTGTCAGAGGTTCCAAAAACTACCCCCAGGGTCAGTTATTCACCAGGGGGACTCACAGAGCATAGAATATAATTGTATTCATGGTTGTGCTTAATTACAGTGAAAGACTACAAAGCAAAAGAAGCAAAGGGAAAAGGCACATGGGTGAAGTCTGGAGGAAACCAGCCACAAGCTTCCAGGAATCCTCTTGTGGAGTTATACAAGACATGCTTAATTTCTCCAGCATCAAATTATGAGAACTCACGGGCAGTGTTGTTTACCAATACCAGACTCTAAATAGAGACTCGGTGCCCGAGGTTCTTTGTGGGGACTGGCCATGTAGGGACCCTTTGCCTAGCACGTACCAAAATTCCAGACTCCCACAAGGAAAGCAGGTGTTCATTGTACAAACAATTTGGGCACAGTGAACTATTATTATCTATTTGGGAGTGGTGGGAACCCTCCTCAAATCCAAGTTCCCAAATACCAGCCAAAGGCCAACCTGGCAAGCAAGCCTTTCCCAGAATAGCAATCTCAGGCCTGCTGTATGTTTTCCTTTCTGCACAGCAGTTATAGCCCAGACTTAAATTTTGATGCTGTCTTAAAATTTTATTTCAGTAGCAAATAATACGATGCTATAATCTAACATGGTAATGTTTCAGTTGTATCATCCATATTAAGTGGCAATGTTGGTTACTTTTTTAACTTTTGGTAAATATTTGACAGGTATTTGTAGATAAATTGCTATGACCATATTATATTAGGTAATTATAATCTATCCTATTTATCTGACTAATCTTTCAGTGAAATTCTTAGATAAAATAAGCATAATGATTTATGATTTAAAATGAGACTAATTATATGGATGGTCCAGACTTGATTTATATTATGCTAAATACATTTATATATATAAAACAAGATAAGGCATTCAGTCATTTTTATCTTTCTTAAATATTCAATTAAAATTACTTTAATTTTGGGAATGATAATCATGTTTTGTTACTTCGATCTCTGTCTTCAATTTTCAAGGTGACTAAGTCTTGCTGTATTATATGGTAATAGTAGGATCATTTTCCTGATACTAGGATGTTTCATGGTAAATTGAACAATCTTGACTGAAGAGCTGGAGAAGCTGTGTTATGTATGTCACAACAAATTAAGGATACTCTCTTTTAACTGCCACTAGTAGCAGAATCTAGAAAAATCATACTATTTAAGTTTGATGCTATCAGTTTAGGTTACTCATTCTGCTAATGATACCATTTTTTGTCAGTCTGATAGGGTTAAGATTATGATACTTGTAAATAGCATTTGACTTGTAGGTATAAAATTTTGATAAATCATATTCTCCTTTGCCTGTATTTGATAAATACAAAGGAGAGGAAGAGTTCTTAATGCGTCAGTTGACTACCAATAGTATAATTACTGTTTAGTATAGTCTCCAGATGTGGTCCCAAAGGAATACTTTATCAAAGCATCAGAATCTTATACTTTTAATACTCTGTATTTTTCAATTGTTGATTTAAAATGAATTTTACTTTTTTTTTTAATAGTGGATGAAAGTTCCGACGAGGACTCTTCAAGCAGGTAGGATTTTTTTTTTTATCGTACTTCAGGTGAAGGTTTACAGGACACATAGTTTCTCATTAAACAGTAGTACACATATTGCTTTATAACATTGGTTAACAATCCCACGACGTGTCAACCCTCTCCCTTCTCGACCCTTTTTTTGGTGAAAATATACATAGCCAAAGATACACCATTTCAAAAATTTCTACACGCACAGTTCAGTGACATCGACTACGCTCTTCCAGTTGTGCTGCTATTCTCACTTTCAATGAAGGTTTACAGAACAAAATCATTTCTCATTAGATGGTACACATGTTGCCCTGACAGTGGTTAACAACCTCACTACACATCAACACTGTCCTTACTCAACCTTGGGTTCCCTGTCACCAGCTTTCCTGTCCCCTTCTGCCTTCTACCCCTTGTCCCTGGACTGCTGTGCCTCATTAGTCCCATTTGGTTTTATGGGGCTGTCCACTCCCTGGCTGAATGGTGAACCTCAGAAGTGACTTCACCACTGAGCTAAAAGGGAGTCTGGGGGCCATACTCTCGCGGTTTCTCCAGTCTCCTTTAGGCCAGTAAATCTGGTCTTTTTGTTTTTTTTGTGAGTTAGAAT